CCAGAAGGGAGTTGCCTTCCCAATGCTCAAGCCAAACCCCAGACCAATTAAACCAGGTATCTGGGAGTGAGGTCCAAATAAAGGTATTTTTTTGATGTTCCACAGGTTACTCCAGTGTGCTTCCAAGGTTGAGAACCGCCATCGTAGAGCAGTTCTTCAAGGATGGTTTCTAGACTAGCCACTTCAACCTCACCTACAAACCTCACCTACAAAGGTGATAGATATGCTAATTCTCTGTCCCTCCTCCAGCCTACTAAATCAGAAACTGTGGTTTCCACCCTAGCCCGGCAGACTGGGGTTTAACAAGCCCCTCAGGTGATTCTGATGCTTGCTCAAATTCGAGAACCACTGGTCTAGAGTTCTCCAATGACACAATGCTAACACGTGCAGGAGTGTTAACACTACACCTCCTCCACTCTCTGGTCTCTTAATCAGAAGAGCAGGTCTGTTAGTAAGTCTCCTTGGGTGAAAGAACTCATTAAGGTTTTCTTAAGTAATCGAGTGTTTGTTGCAAGGATATGTAATGAAAATTATGGAATCTTGACTCTGTGGCCAGGTTGCACTGAGAGTGGGCATTTTCGAGATACAACAGATGTACGAATCTGACAGCAGCTCTGGGGACTCACTGACAGCTTCGACAGCTGTTGCCTCCCAAATGTGTAGGTCTAGAACCCTAGCATGCCTTAGCGATTCTGTCCTTTCATGTCCCCTTATACAAACCACCAAATTCTTTCTCCTCTATCTAGTCTAAAATTTTGAGAGCATTTGATTGGCTCAATCTCTTTCATCACTTGGTGATGATGTTTCCTTAACGTGTGCCCAACTTGTAAGCTTTGCTGGCCAAACTGGCTTCCCTTGGGTCAGGTCTCTTACTAAAGTCAAGTAGTTGGGGCCAGGGGAAAACAAAATGCAGAGTAAGAATCTCCTAAGGCCATTTCCCTACCTAAAGGTCTGAGGGCCCTAACATGGGCTGTGGGTATGTCACACAGTGGGAAGCTTGGTCTGTTAAAGACATTTAGCTGTTCTCTGACCCTTAAATCTATGTGAAGTTCTTTGATACAAAAAGACATCGAGGACAAATTAAGCATTTATTCAACTGTAACTTTTGGGGATGAGTTGGAAACTTTTACAGAAAAACTTTGGGAATGTTTTCTTTTCAATATTTGCTATAGGGAAGTCTTGTGGCCAAGTTTAGAAAAGCCATAAGCCATGTTATTTTGGAAAATCATCTTATTTGCATGCACCAGATTGTAGGGCCTATATTTTATGCAGAAGTGCTCTTTGCATAGTCTCCTTCACTAAGGCATAAATGACGAAAGCATGTTGGTAATTTTAAAAACCTCATTTACCAAAAAAACAAAACAAACAAAAAAAACCCTCAAGGGATAGTTTTCTCCAGATCATCAGACCGGCCCTCCAGGCTCCATTTTAACAACTGATCTGGGGGCGCTTGGGTGGCTCAGGAGGTTATGCATCCGACTCTTGATTTCCGCTCAGGTCATGATCTCAGGGTCGTGAGACAGAGCCCTGTGTGGGGCTCCTTGCTCAGCTCAGAGTCAGCTTGAGAGTCTCTGTCTTTCCCTCTCCCTCTGCGCCCCACTGCTGGTAGGAGGACTTATGCTCGTGCTCTCTCTCAAATAAATAAAATCTTAATGAGACCTGATCTGATTTCACTATACTAAGCTGAACTGAAAAACGGGAAAGTTCAGTCCAAATCAAAATGGTTAACTAACCTCTGGGGAAGGCATGAGTTTGTTATTTACAAACCCTTAATGAGGCACCAGGGTGGCTCAGTTGTTAAGCGTCTGCCGTAGGCTCAGGTCATGATCCCAGGGTCCTGGGATCGAGCCCCCATCGGGCTCCCTGCTTAGCGGGAAGCCTGCTTCTCCCTCTCCCACTCCCCCTGCTTGTGTTCCCTCTTTTGCTGTCTCTGTCGAAATAAATATATTCTTAAAAAAAAAAAAAGTAACCCTAGTGATGCCAGAATTCATTGAACCATTCCTGAATCGTTTTACCTCTCAGTGCCAAAAATTTGTACTTCACCCAGAACCTTGTAGAACCCACTTACAGCATGGTACCAGTACTGTCACTATTACTTTATCTTAGGCCACTAAATCACCAATTAAAAAAAAATTCCTACCTTGAAGTCTAAATCATAAACTTGGGCTACCAGAATAAAATTAAAACCAAAACTTAATGTGTAGTTATCAAGTTGTTTAATGTAACTGATTGGTTGTTGATAACAAAGGGATACTTACAGAGCTAGTATTTACATTTTCTATCGTTTCAGGTCTTTTACAGGCCATATTCTTCTATTCTTGGTTTTACAGAAGTTCTCTCAAAAGGACAAATACCCTGCAACTCTGACCCATGTCTAGCTTTTATATTATTTCATTAAAGAAAAATGTGCCCTAACCTCAAAATGTCCCTCTGAAAAGAACTGAGTAAAAGGATCATCCAGCATGTTTACAATGAAAATCATGAGCCAAAACTTTTGTGTTTTCATGCATTATATGATGGAGTTGGGAGTACTGGAAGGTTTTGGCCATTTTAGCAGCATTTGTAAGCATTTTACTTTTAATAGGTCCATTTATCTTAAAACCATAGCTGAAGATTATGGCAACTCTTTAATAAAACAGTTGTTTGCTTGCAGTGATATGAAATGAGAAAATTGAAGTTTTAAAATCATTAAGTGTCTCAAAGATATTTTTCCCTCATGGCTTTAAGGGGAAAAAAATTAATACATTTAGTTTAAGTGCCATTGATAGGGCTGTAATTAAATACTTTCAAACTGCACTTAAAGATGGCAGTATTACTAACTCAACTGAGTTAATGTTTTATCTGGTAAATCTCCTTTATCTTCTGGAAGTTAGATTATCTTGGTAAAATTAGTCAATCCTCACAACTATGCCATTACAAATAATCTATAGGTTGGGGGTATATATTCTACAGGAGTTTATTATGCCTTTCAAATTAAGTGTTCAATGGAGTGTTTGATGATTTTTAAGTAGATAAATGCATTATTTTTCCAAGTTTCTCCACTTTATAAAAATAAGTGAAATCCAGAAGTACCCGTGCATATTTTCATATCCTCACTCATATTCCAAAAAAAACAAACCTGGTTGAGTCCTGCTGGGTGAAGCCTAAGAATGTTACAAAGAGAAACCATTCTACTTTACCAGGGTTCTTTAAAATACCCCAGTTCAGGGGCACCTGGGTGGCTCAGTTGGTTAAGCAACTGCCTTCGGCTCAGGTCATGATCCTGGAGTCCCGGGATCGAGTCCCGCATCGGGCTCCTTGGTCAGCAGGGAGTCTGCTTCTCCCTGACCCTCTTCCCTCTCGTGCTCTCATTTTCTCTCTAAAAAATAAATAAAATCTTAAATAAAATAAAATACCCCAGTTCAACGTAGTTACCAGTGTTCACAGTTTAATTTAGAAGTGAAGAGATTAAGCATTAAGGAGTAGCAGCAGAGAGTTTATTTACATCAAAATACCAGCAGATGTCAGCAAAAACTAAGGCAGTGCCACATGACTTTGTACAAGAACCTTAAGCTATTTCTTTCAGGGTATCCGCAATGTAAACAGAAAATCTCGAATTACCGAAGTGCAGTCCTTTTAAGACCCCTCCATTTTATACATTGTTACTTGACCCGGGAGGGATGGGGTCTCAGTGCGATCTGCCTTTTCAGTGCAGCAACACCTCTTTCAAAGACCTGAACAGCCCGGATTTTGTCCAATGAAACTCACCTACAACGCTTGACATAACTACACTCCAGACAGCCATCCCCATTAAAAAACAAACATTTTTGTTTGTTTACAGAATACTCCTATTACCTAGGCTCTGAAATATGTGTTTAGGGGTTCTGAACATGGAATATCTGAGAGATCATGAAAGCATTTTTCCGGAGAGTTTTCTGTCAGGTGGTAGAACAGCTTGTTATACAGAAGTAGATATAACATTTTAAAAATAGAAGAATCAAGTATAATATTTCATCTTATACTTGTAAAAGAAATAGGAAAAAGATTACATGGGATGCCATTTACTTCAAATATACACATGCATTTTTATTTTAATGTTTGTGGCCAATACTGTGTAAGACCAATGTTTACGGCCTTACATTAACTTCTCCAGCAGGAGCCATATATGGCAGAAGTGTTCGTATTGCTTTTATTTCTGCTTCTTAGACTAATAGTATCCTAAAATAATTTAGCCACCTGGAACCCTATTTATGCAAAATATAAAAAGAATCTAGATGATTTAATTGTATTCTGTATTTCTGTGATTCTACATTAAAAAATAGTAAGCGAACTCATGATGTAATTTTCCCCAAACACAGCTTTTATTATAGCATACTCTAAATTAGACATACCTCTCTCTGTAAACATTGTGCATGCTCATGAAGAGTGAGTGCTTCCTATTTCGGAAACAGGTATAATGAACAAATATAAACAAAACTGTGCAAGAAATTTACCCTTGAAACTTAAAATTAACTATTACCATCTTTGGAAAAAAAAAAAAAAAAAGAAATGTTCCACTAAGGAATGCTGAAATATAAACAATCTGAATTTTAAAGTCATTTATTCTTTTGAAAATATATTCGTTTTAAACAAAAAAAACCTAAGACTTAAATTTGTCCCTACGAATAGCTTAAGCAATATACTAAATCATACTTAGAACCAACAAAAACATTGGCAGTAATGCAACTAATGTCTAATGAACCCAGAAGTTCAGATAAAATTGGAAGTCTGTGAATCCTCTGTAACAAAGTATTTCCTTAATTCGGAAAAAAAAATCTAGCATCTGATTTAAGTATATAAAGCCAAAATATTCTTTTTGCCAGTGTTCTGTTGAAATGTGAATTAAAGAACTGATACTGGGGCGCCTGGGTGGCTAAGTCGTTAAGTGACTGCCTTCAGCTCAGGTCAGGTCATGATCCCAGGGTCCTGAGATCGAGCCCCGCATCGGACTCCCTGCTCGGCTGGAAGCCTGCTTCTCCCTCTCCCACTCCCTCTGCTTCTGTTCCTGCTCTGTCAAATAAATAAATAAATCTTTAAAAAAAAAAAAGTATGATACTAACCATACTTCTGATAACTAGGTCAGTGACAAATGTAATTTAATGACAATTTCATGGTTCAAAATGGCATTCCATCAAAGTAAAACCTGTTAAACAGGTATCAGAAGTATACAGGAGTAAAAATAAACCTCTACTGGTCAATTTAATCAAACTGGTTGTATAAATTTCATTTCAATAGCTAAAAAATATTTCAAACTGCTAAAAGTTCATCTGATTAAACCAAAGTACTCTAATTTAGGGAAAACCAAGCAAAAACCTAGTTTAGTGGCAATGCCCTAGATGAACAATTTTAGACAAACAGGTAGCTGCTTAAAAAAAGAGCAGTTATCACCCACTCTCATCCTCCAAACAGCACCCTTACAAATTCCATAAAAACCTGTACAAGATTCAATTTCCAAATAATTCATACTCTCTGTGTTTCTCTAACGTTTTTTTCTCATTATTACTCCCTTAAAGCCTTTTTTAGGCTTCTTAATCCTAATCACCACCCATAAAACGTGAATACCACAGATACAACGTATTCCTGTTTATGTATTATATGTATATTCATGCTTTCTACAAAGAATGAGATTTTTGCCATCAAAAACAAATTTTCACCAAGAATGTATGGTCTAAACAATGAAAGGTTTACAATACTAAAACTTTTAAGGGTAAATCGCCAGATGAATTTTAGCATTTAGATACGCAGATTATTTCCAAAATACTTTTAACACTCAACCACCTAGTTTTATCAAAATCAATTTTTCCTGAAGTAGGTGGGCACTGTTCTCAGCTAGAGTCCTTGGCTTGCACAGTAATGTAGGACCATAAACAATGGCCATTCAAAGCAATCTTAATAATCAATGGGGGAAAATGTTCTGTGACCTTTAAAAATCTGTCAAAATATTAAAAACTCGGTGTTATAAAGAAAAACATTGTAAAAATGTTAGTACACTGTAATTTAAAACATTAGAAACAATGAGAAAGTGTTATTCCACTGTAAAAAACTAACCATAAGGGGTTTGAACAGTGCTTGACTTTTTGTTAACTTAGGATACTAAGTAAGCAACACTCTATACCATGGCGAACTGTCATACTCAAGTTTGGATCAGCTTCCTCCATTTTATCATTCGTACTTTCAATGTTGTAAAATAACTCTAATTTCCTTTAGTGTGAAGTTTTTACCATCACTTCCTCTGGGACCTACTCAACCTTCTCGTCACAACCAGTTTCCCTTACGCTTGCCTCCACAAGGCTCCCCTAGTTGTGTACTGAGCCTCGCAGCAGCGCCAACATTCCCACCGGGGATTTCTTCCACAACTCCACTTACGTTCAGTTCAAATCTCACGTCTAGCATTACCGTTTTTCCTTTCTTCATTCACTTTTATCTTTGTTGGCCAGTTCTTTTGATGATCTACTTTTGTAAAATGTCACATGGGTGACAAGGAGACAATACAACCACATGCTTTGTTGTCTGGGAGTGAACTGAATGACAGATGTGCAGTAACCAATCACTAGCAGAATCTGAGAGAAGTACTGTGATTGGTCAGTGATGATGAAGCATGTCTGCTACATAATGATTTGTGGACCAAAGGGCTAGCAGGGAAGTTTGCTTAGCAGAAGCAAAGTTTCTTCTTGAGGTTTAGTTTAGTCACCTTTAGTTAGGTGAAGTTTATACTTCACCTAACTGCTCACAGTATAGACCATGGTAACTGAAATTTGAGCTGTGCTAATGGAGGACTGCCTTTGCCTACTTGTTGACATTGACCCGGACAGGCTCAAAGCTGACTGCTGAGGAACAGCTCATCTTAATTTACATCAGATAATGAATCTTAAAGCACCCTAAATGCAACATTAGCACAGAGTGAGTGCATGCTGAGGTGGTTTTCAAATTCTTGTCATTTGGCAGTCAACTTTAAAATGTATCTTAGGGAGACAGAGTTTTAGAAATAAAGAAGGGATATTTAAAGAGCCCATAATCTGATACCACAAATTATCCAGCGTGTTTGTTATGAATGATTTCTCCTCCTTCAATTTCGATTTGCTCATACAGCCACTTGCGGTCACAGCGGCATTCAGCTCCGCATTTGGTGGAACCACAGGCAGGACAAGCATAGAAACATCCTAAACAGTCTTCATCAAGGCAGTCACAAAGGTCCATTCCACTGAAAATCAGGAGACCCTGGCTATCATAGACCTTACTCTTCGCTGGTATCACTTGTCTGTAAAATAAAACACAAGACAAATTACACCTCACAAACACATGATTTTTGAATATGTTATTGAAAATAAGACAATGAAAACAAATTTAAGGAGGTGTAATATTTTGAATTAGGGATGACGTCCTGCAAAACTGGTACATAACTTACCAGACTCAAGCCTAATTAGTAGTAAATGAGCTCTGTGAGAAGAGACTCATTCTAAAGTGTGGAGACAAATCCAAAAAGCCTGAATATGCCTCTAGAAGTCCATTTAAAAGTCAACTCAGTCCATTCCTTTACTATTTCCAAAAAATATATTTCTGTTTAAAATATTTTCCCCTTACCTTAACAGCAACAACAGAGAATAGCAGCTTAATAGTGGTACATTTTGTTGGTTACCAATCTCTTTCTCCTACCCTATTGGTTTTTATACTGCAATTAATCTGTTTCTTGTTCTTTAATGGACTCTAGCAAATCTGGCTTAAAAACAATTAAATGACTCAATGGAAACCTTAACAGATGGAATAAATGGCATATGTAGAAAATAATTCTGAATGATTATACTAACATTTGTCAACCTGTGCTTTAGAAATGTTCAATTTAAAAAGTCATATTCTAAACAATTTAGTTTTCTCATTCATTCTGTTGACTGTACCATAACTGTTTCTATTTTAGACATGTAAAAAGATAAAAAGCAACCTTGAATTCTTCTAAGACTGACTTTTTGGATGCCACCCATAGAGGAATGACATACCAATTATATAATACCAATGTTTTAAAAAATTGTTTTAAGTATTTTAATTTTAATTCTCATGCCAAAAATGTTAACTTGTTCACTTCACTGACACTTTCTTAGAAATAAATTTTTAGAGTTGAAAGGAATGCCTTCATTTTATATGCAGTCCTTGGAGATTCTTACTAATCCCAGATCATCCAATTTAAAATATCTACCCAGAAAATTCAAAACTTAAGATAGTGAAACAATACAGATGTGAAGCAGCAACTTAATACAAGTCTTAAGTGAACACACAGCCTACCTGTCAGAACCAGCGGTTGCATTTTTTGTGAGCCTTCTTTTTTCTCTTTTACCAGTTTCTGGAGCAAATTCAGTTTGCTTTCCTGGGTTTGTAAATTGCAATGACCTCAAAGCTTTAGCAGTTCTTCCCTGAAAAAAGGTAAACAAATTATCAACTCAAATCTTGACAAAAGACCATGAACAGATTAATATTTAACTTAATGTTAATCCAGATTATTCCTTAACCTGAAGGATGGTCTGGAATTCACAAAAAAGAAAAAGGTTTTAGAGCCCAAGTGCAACAACATTTACACAGCCCTAGACAATATCCAAAGTTTATGGGTTAATTTAGTTGTAATATTTTCATTACCTAATTTTAGTCTCTGGCATATCAGGAAGGGCAACAAGCATGGTAAAAATGCAATGGCTGCTGCTAAGATGGCAGAAAAGGCAGAAAAACTGTTGTATAACCCAACGGCATAATGCTGAGATTCCTGGGGCGCCTGGCGGTGGAGTCTGTGACTCATGATCTTGGGGTTATGAGTTTGAGCCCTGTGTTGGGTGTGGAGATTACTTAAAAAAATATTAAATCTTTAAAAACAAAACTGATGTTCCTAATAGGATCTTGAGTCCTGAAGGAAAGGTTCTATTATATATATTTTTAAAAGCAAGGAGGTAATATGGTTTTATGTTCTGAAATAGTATTATCATCTTTTTAAAAAGCTTTGGTAAAACAAAATTTCGATGGTTAAGGATTTAAGTTCATTATCTGGGGAAAAAGCAGTTTATGTGATATATTCCACGAGAGCAACAAATAAATGAAATGGAGAAAACATCTAAGTGACAGCAGCAAGTACCTAGTATGAACTGCAAGGGAACAATGGGTCCTGGAGATATGCCTCTAAGGGGAGAACAAAAGGGAAGCACTACATATAATTTAAAATTTTAATTATCTTTTAATTTGGTTTATTAATATAATGAAAAGGAAGAGATTGAGAAAAATATCCCAGCAGCAAGAATTACAAATTGGTTATAAATAGAAATTTTGAGAAGTGCTCCTTTGATATACTTGTCTTTGTTCTACACCAAAGACAGCTTTATGAAATCTTTTTTCTGATATAGTTAAATAATCTGAATGTAGGCATGTGAATAAGGGAGTTATAAATATTTAGTATTTACAATGTAAAAATGTATGCTTTTTGACCACAGGGAGTTCTTAAATTAGCTGGATCATACCAAATAAGAACTCAGAGCTAGAAGCAAAGGAAACTCACAAGCATCTAAAAAACCCAAACAAGAATGGTATTAGTGACAAAGGAGAAAGAAAGGCTGAAGAAACAATCATTGCAAGTCATTTCTCTGGTGTTCGTATTAAAGCAGTTATTTTTAAGTCCTTCATAAGAAAGGGGAATTCATTTTGGTATAAAAATACTCACTGGTGAGCAGGTCTCACAGAATTACTTTGGTATTAGAAAAGAAACTAAGATAACAATTAAGTCCTGGCTTTACCAGAATGTTCTGAAAGCCACTCCCAACATCTTAGCCCTAGGAGTTACAGCTTGAGTCTTGGACATAATATGTTATTAGTTTCTCAAGCATACTTTATCATCCAGAAATATTTAGAAACACCATTTATTTTCACCTCTCCAACTTTAATTCACAATTAGAATAAATAACATAAAATATGATTTCTTTATAGTTCAACAAAACCTCACATTGTAGAAGTACACAAAGAAAAAAATGACTGCTATACATACATCTGAATCAGGTTTTCTTCTCTGCCGGTCTTCAGAATCAACATCCACACTTCCATTGATTATCTGTGTACATTTTGGGCAAAGTTTCCAACCAGGTACAAGCTGTCTTCCAAATTTTGCACTCAGAAAAGTGGCATCATCTAAGTCAATTACATGCAAATTTTTTTTGGCTAGTTTTTTGTGTATGTTAAATGGGTCACAACATGACTTCTGCAAATCCTCAAATCTGTCAATGTAAATTTTTGCATGATGGAAGCAAATGGTATTGTTCCCAGAAAGTGTCATTCCAGTTCTAAGTTGAAGTAAAAGCATATCATTTGATGACAATTCTTGCAAAGTCTTGAAACCAGTGTGACGAGTGTAGTAGGTTTTATGGCACTCATTCGTGGTACGAAGCTGGACTCCAACTGAACATGGATCCATCACTCTAGATTCCAGCAAATTTCCCTTGTTTGATTTTGTCTAGGGATCTGTCGCTCTAGTAGGTCACGTGCTGATCACCCTAGAGAAAACACTGAAGTCAGATTTGTGCTGCAAACTTTTTATCTGGGAAACTGAACAAGCATTTTATTAAAATTCAACATCTATTTAAAAGAAACTCTTAGCATGAGAGGAATAGAAAGACATTTACCAAAAGCTTACAATAAACATTTAATAAAACATTAGAAGCATTCTCTGTAAAGTTAGAACTACAAACGAATACTTGCTATTTAACACTATAGTAAAGCTTCCACTTAATATTGTATTAAAAGGTATTGGGATTGAGAAGTATTACTCAAAGATGATATAAATATCTACAGAGAAAATACAAAAGATTCAGCAAACTATTAAAACTAATAAGATAATTCAACAATGAAGCTAGAAACCTAAAACAGTAAGAGACCTTACAAAATAAATCCTACAAAAGACATGCAAGACTTTTATGAGAAAATCATCAAACAGAAATACAAAAAGGTATCCTAAATAAATGTAGAAATTATTCATGGGAAATCTCACCAAGGTATATAAATTCTCTGGGAATTTATCTATAAATTCAGTACTATTCCAATCAAATCCCAGCAGGTATTCCACCCATTCCCCCTTGGAATTTAGCATTTAGTTTACATGGAAGAGTAAAAATCCACTAAAGTCAAGATAGTCTTGAAGGAAAACAAAGTAAGATATTTGCTATAAAGCTGTTGTAATTAAAACAGTGTGATATTTAGTATAGATGAATATAGTATAGTATAGATCCAAGACAAATATAGTATAGTATAGATCCAAGATATACAGCTTGGTGCAGTATAGGACATGTGATTTTATAAAATCAGTGGGTAGTGCACATTAATGGGGAAAAGATTTAATAAAAGATTAGGGGATAACTAGCTAACCACATCAAAAAAGACAGACTAAGATCTCTTTCTCACAAACAAAAATCAACTCCAGATGGATTAAAGAATTAAACAAGAAAAACTGTACTATTGTTTATAAGAAAACCTAGAAGACTTTGCGACATTGGGATAGAGAAGAATTTCTCAAACAAGAAAGCACATATCAAAGGAAAAGATGGACACATTTGATTATATGTCAAAATTAAACATTTCCTTAGAACTCTAAAGGAGGAAAAACAGCCACACTTGAAAGGTATGGTTAGGATTATTATCCCAAATATACATAAAGAATTCTGACATCTACAAATCAATTAGAAAATGACAAAGAACCCATTAGAAAACTAAGCAAATAGAGGCACCTCGGTGGCTCAATTGATTAACGTCTGCCTTTCACTCAGGTCATGATCCCAGGGTCCTGGGATCCAGCCTTGCATTGGGCTCCCTCTCAGTGGGGAGTCTGCTTCTCCCTCTCCCTCTGCCCCTCCCCCTGCTGGTGCTCTCTCCCAAATAAACTCTTAAAAAAAAACTAAGCAAATATAGAGAGGCAATTCACAGAGGAAGAGAAATAGCCAATAAATGCATGAAAAGATGTTCAACCTTTATAGTTATCAAAAAAAAGAGGCAAATAAATACCATTTCTCAAACATTTGCTTAGCAAAATTTTAAAAATCTGATAACCTAGTGCTGGTTAAAATGTGGCCAACTCTTACATGCTCCTTATACATTGGTAGGAACGTAAACTGCAACTGCTTTAGAGTGTTTTTGGCAATTTTTCACAAAATTAAACAAGTCCACATCCCAGGACCTTGCATTTTCAGCTCTAGGTATTTGCCAAAAAAAAAAAATATATATGTCCGAAAAGAGGACAAGGATTTTTGTTTATTATATATATAAAGGACTTCGAGCATTTATTGTCTTTGACAGTGAAAAGTTGGAAATTGTCTAATTTTAAGGATGAGAAACCATGGGTTACTCAGCAGGCACTCAAATTATATGAATCACCACGGACAAATCTTAAAGATAATCTTAAGAGAAAAAGTTGTAAAAGGATACATTTATGTAAAATTTTAAAAACACAAAGTAGGGGCGCCTGGGTGGCTCAGTCAGTTAAGCGTCTGCCTTCGGCTCAGGTCATGATCCCAGGACCCCCCACATCGGGCTCCCTGCGCTGCGGGAAGCCTGCTTCTCCCTCTCCCACTCCCCCTGCTTGTGTTCCCTCTCTGGCTGTGTGTCTGTCAAATAAACAAACAAAATCTTTAAAAAAAAAAAAAATAAACACACAAAATAGTGTACATGGTTTAGAGATGAAATATGAATCATGCTAATATATACATGAGTAAGAAATACCAAATTTGTGGCATACATACTTCTGAGGAAGGCAACTTTTTAAAAAGATTTATGGAAGATTAAATTGAAGGCATGTACACAAGTGTTTTCATTATTTCTGTACTTTCCATTTGAAAATTTTCATAAATATTTCTCAAAGCAAATACAAAAACTTGGTTGAATTCTTAAGGAAAGAGTCAACAAATAGAAGTCACTAGGAAAAAAAAAGTGTTGAAAATACACGTGAACCACTGAAATCTGTGTGGTGGTAGAATGTCGAAATATCTAGGATTGTGCAATTTTTCAAGTGTTTTTATAAACTTTGCTCCATATTAAAAAAAAAAACTGGTTAGAAAGCTTAGATACTTCCCAATGTTTTCTTCAGAGAAAAATCAGAATCATATAAAATCATAAAACCATATACAAAGATGACTCTGGTCTCATGTAACAAAAAATTGTGAATAAATACATATCTGTTTTCAGTTAAAATACTAAATTTAAAGTTAATAGAATACAATCTAAAGTTCAAAATGTCACTGAACATTCTAACTTAAAATGTTTAAAAGCTAATTAAGATGGAGCCTATTTATATATTTTTATTCTATTTCAACCAACTTTTAAAATTTAACTTCCCAGTAATGGTGCCAAGTGCATCAGCTAAAATGGCTTGTATTATACAAATTAGATTTTTTTTTTTTTTACAGAAATGTGAGTTAAAATAAATGAAGGAATGGAAAAGAGGAAGCCAGAGATAGAGTTATAAAACTAATTATGCTGAGGGCGCCTGGGTGGCTCAGTTGGTTAGACCACTGCCTTCAGCTCAGGTCATGATTCCAGAGTCCTGGGGTCGAGCCCCGCATCGGGCTCCCTGCTCATGCGGGAAGCCTGCGTCTCCCTCTGCCTGCCGCTCCCCCTGCTTGTGCTCTCTCTCTGACAAATAAATAAAATCTTTAAAAAAAAAAAAAACTAATTATGCTGTACTGTACTTTAACAGATATGGGGCACAGATCTGGCTCTGACTTTTCTTAACAGTCAACACAAGGAAAGAAACTTGATCAACAACCTCCTCAGCACATTATAGAAACTGCTAATGCTTAATCTCTCACTGATGCTTGATTCTTTATATTTGTAGGTAACTATCACAAAATTTGTAGCCACTAATCAGTGATTTTCTGAACATGAAATTATTTCTAAGCATTCAAAGACTTGGACTACACTGACCATATTTAATAGGAAAAGTATTTTAGAACTTAGAAAATTCGTTTTAGAAATTGTCTGTCCATAGAATTAATATATTTTTACCCATTAGGGAATTCTCTTCCTTGGCTACTGGGGCATCTGTTCCTTACTTACCTTTTATCTTTTTTTTTTTTTTCATTCTCAACGTATTTAAGGCAAGCATTACCTTGATACAAAACCAAGGGCATTCCAAAACAGGAAAAAAAAATTCCTCGTGAACATAGGCAAAAATTCATGAAAAATAATTTAGTACACAGAATCCAGCAATATATACAAAAAAAATCACAACCACTGAAAGTGTCATTAAAGAAACATGAAGGGCGCCTGGGTGGCTCAGTTGGTTAAGCAACTGCCTTAGGCTCAGGTCATGATCCTGGAGTCCCTGGATGGAGTCCCACATCCGGCTCCCTGCTCAGCAGGGAGTCTGCTTCTCCCTCTGACCCTCTTTCCTCCCGTGCTCTCTTTCTCTCTCTCAAATAAATGAATAAAATCTTTAAAAAAAAAAAGAAACATGAAATACTTAGGAATAATTTTAACAAAACATGGAAGATCCGTACACTACAATTTTTTCTACAAAATTTGTTGATATTTTAAAAGACCAAAATAAATGGGGAGATACCCCATGTTCATATATCGGAAGACACAGAATTGGTTAAATGTTCTCCTTAAATTTATAGATTCAATGCAATCATAATCATAAATAAGCTTTACCTAAAAATTACATAGAAATGCAAAGGGACTTTCTATATCCAAAACAATCACAGAAAAGAACAAACCTAGAAGGCCTTCCATTCCAATCAGAATGGACTTACTCTAATCAGGATGGTATGGAATTAAATATAAACCCAAGAGATATACCCCCATTTATATGCACAAGTGATTTCTAGTAAAGGTACAAAGCCAATCCTACAGGAAAAGGAAGTTTTTTTTGACAGTGGTTTTGAAGTAAGTGGATATCCATATGAGAAAAATGAATGCTGGCCAGTATCATACACTACAGATGAAAATCAAGATAGTTCATAGTCTTCAACACTAAAGCTAAAACTAAAGACTTCTGGAGAAAACACTGGAGACCATATTTATGATGTTGTGTAGGCAAAGATTTCTCAGGACACAGCAATTACCATACAGAAAAAATGATGATAATTACATTTCATAAAGACTATTTTTATTCATAAGTCAAAATTTCAAATATTAATAGGAAAGCCATATACTGAGAAAATATGCAAACAGTATTTATCAGCCAAATCCTTTTATCCAGATTAAAAAAACTACAACTCAAAAACAGAAAGAGAAACCATTAACATTGGCAAAAGACTTAGACATTTCAAAAAGATACAGACAATAAATAGACAATACATGATAAACAATTGACAGCCATTAAAAAGAATGAAATCTTGCCATTTGCAATGACATGGATGGAGCTACAGTGTACTATGCTAAGTGAAAAAAGTCAGAGAAAGACAAATATCATATGATCTCACTCATATGTGGAATTTAAGAAAACAGATGAACATATGGGAAGGGGGGAAAGAAGAAAAAGGGAGAGGGAAACAAGCCATAAGAG